GCATCCGGCGGAGCCTCTGCTCAGAGGCGGTGGGGCAGGAGTAACCGCGTCGCACGGTGACCATCTCCTCCTCCGGGTCTGAGACCGTGGGCTCTCCGTCAACCCCATCATCCTGTCCCACCTGCTGTGTGGGCACGGGGAAAATCTGTTGTCCTGGTTGATGTAGGAGATTTTTGCTCACCCTTCAGGCAAGGTGGAACGGCACACCTAATAAATCAAAGTTTTAAGTTACGAGCTCAACTTGTTTACCTGAAGAAGAGGCAAACCAGTTTTTTATTCTGATACATCCTAAGAGCAAAAGGCAGAAGAGCGGCTGTAGTTCACTTTTAGCAGCTTGTTTATTAGTGATCTGTTTAAGAAAGCGGAGAGAAAAATCAAGGGAAAGTTTGGAGTTGTCCTTAAAGGGAGTACTGGACCTAGTATGGCCATTTGTGTAAGTAAAAAGTTCTAAAAGTAGGGCAGTACACTTGCAACAACTTCTAAGCTGACATCTGTGTACAGGAAAGAAACAATTAGAAATTTGTTTCTTAACCAAATGGGAGATGCTAATTAGCATTTAATTAAAAAAAAAAAAAAAAAGAAAATTACATTAGAAATATCAGTTTTATCTGATGTTGTTAATTTTTTTCCTCTTCTGAAACCACCTCAATGCTAGCATTCTTTATATAAGATTTTAAAACCCCACCAGATTATACACACGCTATGACTTCTGTGGTCGTTGGCGCCATGCTCAGTCTTTCTTCTGCCCCTTTGTCCACGTGGATTTTGATAGGCATCAACTGCATGAATCTGTAACTCAGCTTTTGTAGAATTCTGTTTCATGTAGCATTTACATGGGATGAGCCTCGGAAGTCCTTAAAAACAAACCATAACAGTTTATTTTTTTTCTCTCCTTCCTCAGAATATTAAATGTTTTTCGTCACTGGGTAGAGCACCATTTTTACGATTTCGAAAGAGATCTGGAGTTACTAGAGAGATTGGAGACATTCATTTCCAGCGTAAGAGGTACGGTAACTGGTGGTCCTGTTGTTCTTCCACGTTGCGGTACAACCTCCTGGTCTGGTCCTGACAGGTGTTAGGCATGGGACTGTCTTTACACATAGGAGTACTTTTAATGCCTTTAATTGAGCTGTTTGTAAGACTCTCCTTTACATGAGAAACCTTTGGCCCGGAGCTGAGACAGCTACCAAAAATCACTTCAAACGTTACAATATTTATGATACTTAATTTAAATGCATTTACTTCTGGACAGTAATGTTCATCCTTGCCTGACTCTATAATTCAGACTGTCACCTTCCTCCTCCCCGTGTTGTATTCACAGAGAATTCCTTCCCTGTTGGTTGCTGAGTCTAGTTTTTCCATCTTGTTCTTTTCCCATTTAATAAAAGTTCCAGCTGAAAATCATTATCCTTTTGGAAGAGGATACTTGACCCGTTTGGTATCGTGTCCTCTGGAGCAAGCCCTTAGGAACCAGCGGGGTTTTTTGGCAGCCTGTGTGGAGGGCAGCGGTGTCGGCCTGTCAATTTTAATCATTATCTTGGCAACTCTAGACCTGACTTTTCAGATTGCCAGACCGTCCGTTGGGCTGCATAGTTCTGAGACAAACTTCGAGGATAGTTTATCTTTTGCAGAGGTCTCCGTGCTAACTATTGCTGGCCAGAGAGGGGTAATTCAGTTTTGGTCAGTCTCTTAAAAGGGATTTGGCTTGAGCTGCTGAAGGTGCTTCCCATCTTGTCCACTCTTTTGTGTACTGTAAATGCTGGGCTGATACTGTAAAGATATATTTCTCATCTTTTTGTTCTGCGGTGCACTAGTCCAGCATCTTGCAAAGACCACACTTGAAGCTTGTTGTTTACTTTCTTAGTTCTTCCCCTCTAAGCAGATGAAGGTAGCAGTCAAAGTGGAGATGGTTGCAGCTGAGGGGAAAAAGTAGAGTACAGTGTACGCAGGGTTGCTTTCTTCCCCTCAGAAACTGTCAGTAGATGTGGTTGAACGCAACTGGGCACCCAGAAATTCGTTCACGTGTGTCTGTATTTGCCAACCGATACAGGTGCAAGAACCCCTAAGAAAAAAAACAGGGAACTACAAAGTTAATGAATTTGCATGTGGAAACGTAGAATTCTGGGTGCGTGTACAATTACGGGGGGGTTGGTTTTATTAAATGATCAAAAGTCATTTAAGATGGTATTAAAAAGGGGTGGGGGGTACGGTTTCGGTTTTGCAGGAAAATCCATGAAGAAGTGGGTGGAATCCATTGCCAAAATCATCAAGAGGAAGAAAGCTCAAGCAAATGGAATCAGTCACAACATCACCTTCGAGAGCCCACCTCCCCCCGTCGAGTGGCACATCTGGCGCGTTGGGCACGGCGAAACGCTGGACCTGATGACTCTGCATCCCATAGAAATCGCTCGGCAGCTGACGCTGCTCGAGTCCGACCTTTACAGGTAGCGACTGGACTAATGCAGGTCGTCTTTTTTAGACTATTGGAGCAAGCAAGAGTCCCTTTTCAAAGAATCAGCCAAAAAATACATCCCCTTGACTTTCAGAGTTTATGGAAAGGGGTTTTCTTGCTGTCTGTTCGATATCAAAATATGCAAGGCAAAAAAACAAAAGGGTTTTATATCTCCGTATCAGACTTCTGACAACATACAAAAGTACAGGAAGGACACTCAGTTTACGAGTAGATAATGCTGACTTGTGTTGTCTCCTTGCTAAAAGCAAACGGTGTTACGTTAATAAGAGATGCTGGTTGCGTCAGAAAAAGGGAACACGATGGTCTCTGCTCCTGCCCTTCGTGGCTGCGTAGCAAGGGCCCAGGTGTTACACGCGTATAGCCGCAGTGCTGCTGCGTCAGGCTCCTCTGGTCTAATTCTGAGGAGGTTTTTGGTCTGGTACCGTACGTACTCTGCTGTTTCCTAGCTCTGTTGTTACCTGTGAGAAGTAGAGCTGGCCTTGCTGTGAGAGCTAGTGTTTGCTGGGTAGAAGTTCTGTAAGGGCTTAGAAAACTCGAAGGTGAAGCGTCCTTTGGTGCTTCGGTGACAGCAGGTCTTCTGCTGAAATAGGCCGCTTTGCCAGCAGGTCGCTCGGAGCACTGCAGCTTCCCTTTCTGAAAAAAAAAAAATGTTAACTGTCATTAAGATGCGTTCTTACGCCTTCAGGAAATTAAACTTACTCCTTTGTAATGTTCTTATCTGAAAATGCTTATTCAAAAATGCCAATTTCAATTAAGATAAAAATGTGTTTCCTTCCGTAGTCAAAAACCCATCAAAAAGTGATTTTAAGTAACTGTTTTGCCGTAGATTAGATTGGATTGGATTTGTGAAATACCAAGTTGTGATTAGGGGAGGAAATCGTCTTTCAATGCAAACACAGAACACACCGTTATTATCTGTACTGAGCATTCTTCTGCCTCTTGCTTTGTCGTTGCCAGGGCGGTACAGCCTTCTGAACTCGTTGGTAGCGTGTGGACCAAAGAAGATAAGGAAATTAACTCCCCAAATCTGTTGAAAATGATTCGTCATACTACAAATCTGACTCTTTGGTTTGAGAAGTAAGTAGAGGTGGTGATAGTTGTGGTGGCATTAACTCCTGCTGCAATTCAGAAACATTTTTCTGCCGTTTGAATTCTGTTGCCTTGAACCTTGAGGCGGCTGTGGAGCGTTACAGTGATTTCAGGTTTTGGTTGAAGGGTGCGTTGCCATGCCAGTCGCGTACGCTCCCCCTTCCTGAGACTGGAAGATTTTTTTTTCCAGTTAACGTCAGCTCGGGCAGCGTGGGTCCTGCTTCCATTTCGGCAGGTGCTGGAGGCAGTGCAGGACTCGGCACTGCTTCCCTGCGTCTCTGATGAAAGGACTGTTGTGTCTGTCCCCTTATCTCAGTCTCTCTCCCTTCTCCTGCGAGATGATTGAGTGCTGCTAGGACACAGCCCGTGCTGGAGTCCAAGGGCTGTCGCAGCGTGGGTGCGAATACCTAACCCAGCGAGCTGGAAATGTGGCTAGAGTGGCGTGAGAGTCACCCACTTGTCCTGGATCTTGCTTGGGGTTTGCTTTGTTATTTTACAGGATATGCCAAAACCTTTCTTGGCTTTCCAACTTGAACGGCTCTAAACTAAAAGAGGGCAGATTTAGATGAGATATTCGGAAGAAATTCTTCCCCATGAGGGTGGTGAGGCCCTGGCCCAGGTTGCCCAGAGAAGCTGTGGCTGCCCCCTCCCTGGCAGTGCTCAAGGCCAGGTTGGATGGAGCTCTGAGCATCCTGGTCTGGTGGAAGCTCTGGGCAACCTGGGCTGGTGGAAGATGTCCCTGCTGATGGCAGGGGGCTTGGAACCAGATGAGCTTTGAGGTCCCTTCCAACCCTGACCATTCTAGGATTCTGGGATTCTAAGATGTGATGAGATAAATTCGTACTTGAGATTCTTGAGAGAGCGCCAAAATGTGCCTACTGGATGTACTGTGAAATTTTTATTCTTTTTAAATTTTGATTTAGTAGCTAGCAAAATGTCAGGTTTTATTTATCGGTGTTTCTCAAATTCCATCTTTTGATTAGGTGCATAGTGGAAACCGAGAACTTTGAAGAGCGAGTGGCTGTGCTGAGTAGGATCATAGAAATCCTGCAGGTTTTTCAAGATCTGAATAATTTCAATGGTGTTTTGGAGATTGTCAGCGCGATGAACTCGGTGTCAGTGTACAGACTGGATCACACGTTTGAGGTAAGCTTTGGGCATCGCTCGTGGAAAAAACCTAATCAGAATCCGGAAAGGCGTCACACACACTTCTGAAGCGAGATCCATAACACCCTTGGTTTTGTGGAAGAAAAGTGTGAAATGTTCCAAGTTATTTACGAGCAAACGTACGAGGTGGGCTGGGCGTCTCAAAGGGTTTGTCATGGGAAGGGGAGCTGTTCAGCAGATGTTTTCTCACGTGCGTTCAGCCGGAGAAGGGGACACGCCGTGGCCATTGGATGGTTGGTTGGTAACCTGTCCGAAATGAACCGGTTGCTGCGGTCCAGCGTTTTATGGGTGTGAAAGAGGAGGGTCCCAGGGCTGAGAACTCTGGACTTGGAGCACTGTAACCGCAGCATTTCCTACCTGTGCAAGAAGTGGGGGGGGGAAATGAGCAAGGGGAAGGGATAAAACTCAGATTTCAGGTGATCAGAAGCACTTCTCTTGGATGAGAGAGTCTTGGAAAATTCAGATTGTCAGGGGCAGAAACAAGTATCTGCTGAAATGGTTTAGATGGACAGTAGGGAGAGAGGCTACTACACAAGTAGTGATTCCGTTTTTCACTTGTCAAGGAAAAGAAATGCCTGGGATTGGGCAGCAAAGCCTCCCTTGACTGAAATAGAAAAAGAAGCATGAAGAAAATGTTTTGAGTTTTGTATGTCTTTGAAAGGCAGAACGAAGCCTTTAAGTTAAAACGAAATGTTTCATTTTTATTAAAGACCAGGATTATGCCCTTAAATTGATAGACAAAATATTAGTCTGTTTACAGTAGCCTCACGATTCACATGACTAAACTGTTGGACTGAGAGTGCTGTAACCCAGAGCAAACCATTTGCAAACGAGGTTCTTTCAAATCTGAATTTCAGTTCCTCAGTTTTGCTGAGAGGGAATTGCCTTATTTTTGTTAACTGGGCTGTTGAGAAAGTTTGCATCCCTTTTTTTTTTTTTTTTCTTTGACAACTTAGGCACTACAGGAAAGGAAAAAAAGAGTGTTGGATGAAGCAGTAGAATTAAGTCAAGATCATTTTAAGAAGTATCTAGCCAAGCTCAAGTCAATCAATCCACCCTGTGTGCCTTTCTTTGGTAAGTAGCACCAGCACAGCTGATACCCTGTGGATTGTCAGTCATGAGTTTGCTGCAGATGTGTTAATAGTGCTTAAGGTCTTCGGGGTTGTGTTTAGCTCCAAAAACACATGTAATATAATGTGTGACTTTGGACTTCCTAGGTTTGTAATGTTTGTAGACTTCACAGAATGGTTTGGGTGGAAGGCACCTTAAAGGTCACCTAGTTCCAACCCCCTGCCATGGGCAGGGATACTTTCCACTAGACCAGGTAGAAGACTTCGTGTCTTTTATATGAAATTTATTTTTCTAGTTTAGTGTACAGATTACTGGTACTGTACTGGTGTGAGTATTACCTTACTTTGTTTAACACCACCTGCACATTGGTGCTCTGTTTACAGCAATGACCTGAAGACATTTTTTCCAAAACTCGTGATCTCTTGTGAAGGAGATAAAACATCTTATTTCAATAATACATTGTTTGCATGTGAAATGCAGACTTGATTCCTTCTTGCCAGCTAATAAACTGTTGGAGCTAATAAACTGTTGAAGGGAATGGTTGCCTATGTGCAGACTTTTTTATCGTTTATTAGAAAGAATGAAATCAGCTCTTGGAATGAAAATTAAATTTAAAAAATACTTCTCTCTTTATCAGGAATATACCTAACAAATATTCTGAAGACAGAAGAAGGGAATCCTGACTTCCTTAAAAGACAAGGGAAAGAATTAATTAACTTCAGTAAGAGGAGAAAAGTGGCTGAGATTACAGGAGAAATTCAGCAGTATCAAAACCAGCCTTACTGTTTACGGATAGAGCCAGAAATTCGGGTAATGAAACGTGTTCAATATCTGTTTTGGGGATAGGAGAGGGAAAAGAAGGTACCCAACCAAAAATCACCACAGAATCTAATAGTACTAGACCTAATCTTGCGTGAACAGCGACCATTGGAAGAGGGGGGAATGGTGGCTGGTAGACAGCAAAATCCTGCAGCAAAGGACTAGCCGGAAGCGGGGATTTGCTTAGGTGGGTTCCATGTTCTGGGTCTTGCTCATCCCCTGATCGTTCTGCAGCCTGGTATTGGAGAGATTTTGTAGCAACAAAACAGAATGAATAAGACATACTGACTAAAGAGCAGAACTTGAGAAAAATGGATTGCCTTTACCCTAAAATGCTCGGTACGTGCCAAGCGCGTGTAGCCCTTCAGACATTCGGCAGTGACAGCTCTGACCAGTCTGCCGACCCCGCGCGCGGTCAGAGGGCCTCCAGCTCAGCACGAATGCCAGCAGTGCTTCGGCACGGCGGGCGCTAAGCAAATGTGGGGATGCACCGGTGTCAGCCAGCGTTATCTGTAGAAGTGAGAAGAGAGGATGCTCGAGTGGTTACTTAGGACAATGGCTGGTGAATCCCAGCTAATTTGAAGGAATTTAGAAGAAGATGCTGAAACAACAGTGAGCTGGGTAACGGTAGGTAGGTAGCTGGTTTTATATGGAGATGATAATGTTTGAAAAGAATAGTTTGAAGTACCCAGCCATACTTCCCAAGTGCGTGGCTGATTGTAAGCTCTCCAAAAACCAGCTCTGTGGGCAGCGCTCAATCTCAGCTAGGGAACAGCATCAGGCTGGAAGCAACAGAGAAATTGGTTACGGGAAAGGCTAAACGGGCAATGGCACTGCTGTTTGAAATGTTCTTTGCATGCTTAATTGCCATGGACGTGTCTAGAAAGGGTTTAGGAGATTCATGGTAAAGCCAAGAAGTGCATGAAGTTCCAAGGGATGGCTGTGTTTGTGCTGACAAGAAGAACATGTGGGAAATGCCATGCCCAAGGCCCCAGCTGCTGCAGCAGCAGCTAACGCAGGCCGGTCGGGCGTTGAGGGGCTTTGTCCCGTCCCGTGCCCTTGGTGCCAGCCCTGTCCCAGCCGAGTCTTCCCTTCAGTCTTCATGCCGTAGCACCATACTCTGTCCCGTCCTGTTCTTCGTAGTGAACTGGTCACATCCAAAGCACTTGAAGAAACGGCGGTGGTGTAGCCTTTGCTTTCCCTGCTGTGTCATCTGTAGGCTGCTCCTTCCCAGGTCTGTGTTTCTGCGAGAGCAGGGGATGCTGCTGCGTGGCCCATAACGCTGCTGCGCCAGGCGTGTTTCGGGGTCGGAGACATGAGCAGACTGTTTACAGCAGACTTCATTTCACAGAATCACAGAATGTTCGGGGTTGGCAGGGACCTCTGTGGGTCACCCAGTCCAACCCCCTGCCCAAGCAGGGTCACCCAGAGCAGGCTGCACAGCAC